CCCCCGTCCCACGCCACGTCTGTCGCCCTCCACCAAACAGAGATTTAATACCGCTCGCACGAATAGGAGGTATGGCTCGTGCTCATATAATGCGCCGACTTAATCTCCGAATAACGTGGCCGAATTTTTTATCGCGCCCGCCACGTCGCGCCGCGCCGGTCCCGCAATGTACGGCGAGAACGTACACGGATAATCATAAAGCACTTTTTGCACGCGGGCGCTTGAGAGAGTACAGCGTTTTCGGGATTACTGACTATAAATATATCGTGCGCGCGAGAGAATTACGTAACCCGGCTCGCGAACTTTCAAAGGAAGGAAATATGAATTTTAGTCTCGAACACGGTGATACGCGCCGCGCGAGCGCCTCGAATTGCCATTACGGGACGATCTCGATGTGTCCTGCGAGTAGGAACGACCGATGCGTCGCTTATAGCTCCGGGATTGTGTGCAGAGAAGAATGTATATCGGGTAGCATACGGAATATTTCCCCTTTTTTGTACAAATCCATTTATTTATAAAGATGAAGCTCTCTCTCTGTTCGACTGTTTGACTAATAACCATCACAGTTCGTACGGCAAGATTAATCAACAAATCTCCAAATGCGCGGATATCAAATTTCTTTATATTTTTTTCTTGAAGATTAAAAAGGACGAAAATATCTGGGTGATAAGGTAAACGCCCTAGTGATTGAACGTGTACCGATAATTGAATTACTAATAATATACTTGTGTTTATTAAGATGCTTATCAATCAATGAAACAAAATCACAAAGTAACTAAATATTTCTTTTCATTTATTATATTGTTTTGTATATTGAAAAGCATTTCAACAAAGAAAAATATAAAATCAATATGTCAATCATTGGGATATGTATGTTCGACTACTGGGACGTTTACCTTATGAACTCTATTAGTCCAATTATGGCAGTCAGAAATTGGTTGAAGTGATAAGTACCACGGATATACTTAGGTTGAAGCAAAATACCGTCACTCTATAGTAACTATATAGTTGCAGCAGCCACATAATTAATTTCTCATATTTGTTTTTTTTTTATTATTCATCTAATTGGCATAACCAACTTTTTGAACCGATCATATTGCTTTTTTCCTTTGTATATATATCCAAGCAGCATAAATATCACCTCCCCTCACTTAGAGTCGATCTGTCTGAGCGATATCGGAGCTAACGCGACACGTTCGTCCCCAATGAGCCTCTTGATAGCGATAGAACCAGATCCAGATAAAACGCGTGTGCTGTGCGCCACCGCAGAGCGTCACATTTCTCACTCCTCCGTGTCTCATAGAGAAAACAATTTAAACGATTATTTACCGCTGATCTCCGAACAAATATCTATTCTATTCTGCTCTACGTTCTTTCATTATTCGTCCTTCTTCGCCCATTGAATATTCCTACCGTAACTCTTTCTTCCTTTCGACAGTCGGACAGCCGCGAGTGCGAGCGCACCCTGTTTCTTTCGCGACCGTGCTTCATCCCCCCCCCTCTCCCCTCCGCCGACCTATCCAACTCGTTCTTATTTTCCATATTGCCAGACACGACGCATTTTCCAACGCGGCAAGGCGACGGGCGGCCCTGGTCGGCTGCTTTATTTCGCCGCTCTTACGTTTCGCCGCGGCATTATTGCGCGACCGGGTAATGCGCGTATTCTGAAAGCGGCGGGGAAAGGGTTGCGAACCGGAAACACGAGTTTCCTACCTTCAGTGCCGCCGTCGTTCCCGCGGCGCCTCCAGTGCCAAAGTAGCGATTTACATTCAATCCCGGCGAGTTAAGCGACCGATTTCTGCCGGTTTCCATTTTGCGCGACGTCGCAATTTTCTCGCGAGCGTTTGCACGTCGCTCGCGAGAAAATATCTCGCGAGTGTGCAGCACCTTAAGCGCATAACGGCCGATGTAAAACGTGTAACGTTCGCTCGCTCGCTAAGAGGTGTGGCAAGATTTTTCTGGAAATCACTTTCCCGAATTCGCGCCCTCCGCCCGCGAGTCGATATCAGCGAGATGTTTAACAGAGTGCATTTAACTCGTCAACGTTCCTGCACGGTATAGGATAGGGCAATTCGTCAGGTGGCTGGGAAGTAAATCACAATAATAAAAAACCGTAAATCCTCTCGACATTCCTCCCTGAGAAACATCCTAAAAATCCTCCCCTTCAAAACGAACCCCTATCCCCTCGAAGTGACGTCAGCGTACTGACCGAATTAAAGCATTTATAAGCGACATGAACGAACGAAGGTACCGTAACGAAAAGAGAGAAAGGAGAAAGAGCCGATTAGCGCGGCCACGAATCAGGCTGCTCGAGGGTGTTGAAACGGGAGAGGCGAGAGAGAATGCCGAATATCCGGGGGTAAGATGGAAGAATGGGAAAGCAGCCGTCATATTTCTCACCGGGCGAACAATGGACGTTCTTAAACGATCGCCGTTTTGGGCGCATGAATACACACACACACACATATATATATATATATATATATATATATATATATATATATATATATATATATATATTCAAAAAATAAATAAAAGAAACGATTAGTGCAGTGATTATTTAGTAGTAATTTTGCAATAGCGGACATTCGTGTACGAATGTTCGCGATAAACTTACCGGGATACACCCAGTCGCCGAGCGGTAACTTAGCTCGTATCTCGACACGCCCGAACAAAAACTCAAATTTGCTCTTCGTATTTAAGCGTCCAGAGACCACAGGCGGCAAGATGTACGCACCGGCAGCTTGGCGCTGACACTCGTCCGTATCAACCTGGCCTGTGCAACTAAAAAAAATAAATATGTGTGTAGGTGTGTGTGTGTGTGTGTGTGTGTGATTATTATATACGTTCTGACTTGTGGATCTAGGAGTATACAGGCTGAAGCGTTTAAATTTCGAATTATTCATAAATTACTCGTATTGTACAGAACATTTCAAACAAAAAAAAATGTGGTTTTAAGGGGAACGTGATCTGTCTTCAGTAGTTTCTGTCGTATAAAAATATTGGAGTAATATCTTTGAAAAGCGAATGCTTCAAGAGATATTTGAAATACAAAAAAATGTTGGAACAAAATGTGAAATATCTCAGGCCTTGGATAATTTCATAAGAGAAATCACGAAATTATATAATTTTTATTTGTAACATTTTTTCATACGAGTAATTTATCGTGAATCAAATTATAAACCATTATACTCTCTTAACTTTGCATTGGTAAATCTAAGCAGTCTTACCGCTCCAGGACCACTCTTCCTTGCGTCACAAAGTTCTTGCCGAATTTGTCGTTAGTTAGGATCGGCTTGATGCGTAACTGTCCATCGCTCACGTCTGTTACATCCTCAGTCATATAGAAGGCAAACTCGTAATTCTATAAATGAAAAAAAAAAAGAATAAAAGAAAACAATGATATAATATGTGATCGTTAATGATACCACGTAATTATTAATTGTCTCCTGACGAAACAATCGCACATACCGGCGGGCCAGCGAAACGTCGATCAAAATTCCAATTTGTGCTGTCAAGATTGTCAAAGTTATCCTCGAACAAGAGCTCACGCGGACAAGCTTGCTGTCGTACGCCATCTTTGGAGAAAAACCACGTAGCCGATTTTGTCGTGCAATTATGCTGAATCCTGTCGGTGACGTGCAGCGTGCCGTCGGAATTGTAAAAATCTAGAAAACGCGGCAGATTTTCTTCGAGAACTTTCTTAACTTTTACAAATTAACGCTAGGATCGACGTAATAATCAGTTCACTAATTTACGTTCCTCAGACGATACTCACCGATAACTCGGTGTGACTGATCAATCAAGTTGTAACCAAGTCCCTGATACACAACGTGGACCCAATAATAAATGATGTCGTCCCTCTTCAACATGGTGTTTCGGTCCTGGTAGGTCCATCGTCCGTTACGAATCTTGAGGATGTCCTTAGCGATATGTCCAGCTTCCAGACCGTCAAAGTCCTCGTTGAACTTTACGTGGAAGGCCACCAGTGTGATTCCTTGCT